GGAGGTCTCTTCCAACCTGGTTGATTACCTGATTCTATGATTCCTGGAGGAACGGCTCTGCTGACACGAAGGGAATAATTGGCATTCCCAGTTCCTCCAGCAGCTTTCCCAGCAGGGAGCAGCGCGGCGATGCCCAGACTCGGGGCTAGGGGGCGCTGTACCCCCAGGTGAGAGCTGCCACCTGCTCCACCTGCGCCTTTGGCTCTCGGCGAGAGCGCAGGGAATTAGTGGTTTCATCCAATAAATCCCGTTTATTTATGTACGTAGAGTTTCCTGATAACCCGAGAAAAACCTCCCTTCAGCTATTTCTCTGGAGCACTAAAAGATACGCAGCCTGAAATTTTGTTGTTTCTCTTCCTGCTGGCTCAAAATATTTGGGAATGGTGACTAGAAAATGATGAGCTGAAGCAGCTCGTTAGGGATCTGTTAGAGGAACATTCAAGTCAACAGTGAGAAGGAAAAACTATTCCAAATCCATTCACTGGCAGAGAATGAATCTTTTATTGGCTGAAAGAAATTCCAAAAGATCAGATAACTTTGCATGGAAACTTTTCATTACAAAATATTGTGTCTTTCTCCACCTAAGTTTTACCTTGATTTAAGCAAAGAACTTAAATAATAAACACTGATTGAAGTACCATAATTTAAATGACAATATTGTACAAGGCCCTATATAAGGAAAATGTAAACCCCTTTATTAGTTAAGTGGCAGAACTAAAAGTGCAACTCAGAGCTCCATAAAAAAATGTGTCTCACTTGGGATGAGAAGCAGGAATTTGTTTTTTCTTAATTTTACACCTTGAATTACTAATCTTTTTTCTGTTCTTCACTGGAGGTTAAGGCAGAGTAATGGATTTGTAAAGGCAAAAAAAAGTGTTCAAGGCCAAGTTGGATGAAGCCTTGAGCAACCTGATCTAGTGAGGTGGTGTCCCTGCCCAGGGCAGGGGGTTGGGGCTGGATGATCTGTAAGGTCCATTCCAACCCTTAAATTCCATGATTCTAAGAGGAAAGGACTAAGCAGCTGAGTGTGATAAGACTTTTTACTGATACCATAATGTGAGGAATTCTGTGGGCATGTGCAGGATCTCCAGCAGACAGCTTTGCTGCCATGCAAATTTTAAGTGCTCTTCTGTACCCACATGGAGAAGGTTCCATTTTCTCCTCCAGTTTAACAGCAGGA